ACGAGCGACCAGAGGAGATAGTGAGGCGCAAGACAATTATGGAATGTCAGTGGGCCACGCGGTGAAATGATCACTCATCACGGATAACTGTTAAAGATGTTTTTTTTTTGCACTCGTGTACATATATGGATGCTGCTAGGTTAGCTTTCACAATCCTTTTTTGTTTGCCGAAACAATGACGCGTTAGACACAACAGTAAGATATTATTAGAATAAGAAGTTGTAAAATTTTAGTATGAATAATCTAAATTGAAACCTTAAGTACCTACTCATGAAGTTTTTAAATTTGATTAATAGTCACAAAAATATACTCGGAATTCGAATCGGTACATAGAATAAATATATGACAAAAAATGAACTGAACCGAAATCAAAGTCTATATTTTAAACAATTTAAAAAAATAACAGGACAGATGTATCGCAAGCTTTCGGTGGTAGCCTGTATAATGCAGCAAATTAATTTGAATTTGGAGTTAAGATAATTGAATAAAAACATCGAATGTATTTGAACCAATTGAATTGTCTATGATAATAATTTCTTTAGAGGTTTTACGATTATTTCGTGGTACGTAATTTAGATTAATAAATACGATTCTCTCTCTATTCGATACTCTCTCTCGCTGAGAACTTTCTTTCGGGTATTCAAGCGACGAAAGCGACTTGCTTTTCGATTCCAATGCCCGCGCATGACAAGTTGCTTTCTCTTTAATGATTATCGATACGCATTTGGCTTTGAATTATAGACCTTATAGCCCTTTGTTAGCCAATAAATTCAAAATGTTCTATTCAATATTTTGAATGTCACTCATATATTTTATGGAATAAAATAAAACCTACACTCTAACAGAGACTAACATTATAAGTCCTTTTTGTGTCTACTTAAAATCTGTGACCAAACTTTGTGATATTTAGTGCCGGAGCGTGAACGTCTGACAGTAATTGTGTAGGTAGTTGAAGGGCGGAGGGTAAATGCCCTGTTTCTTGATCGTCTCAACTGACGTTCATTCCGATGATACGTATACCTGTATTTAGAAAACGAGTTAACCAAATGTCGTCGTTTGTGAGTGAGTGCATTGACAGGATCGTTTTTATTTGTTTCGTATGCAAAAATCTTGCAAATTATTCTAAAAGCCAAGGTAATATCTTGGTTTTTTCTTCTACTTATTATTTGTATAAACTAATTTCCCGTAATAGATTATTAATCAATTCCGAATGTCATTAAAGACATCTATATATTAATACGCGAAGCAAAAACTTTGTACCCCTTTTTACGGAAAATTGCGCGGACGGAGGAGTATGAAATTTTCCACACTTATAGAGAATATAGAGAAGAAGTGCACAATGCTAATATTTATTTAAAATGATGCATAAAAGATACATTAAATCAATAAAGAAAACATTACACACACTACATACCATGTATTTGACGCACACACGCATGCATACTATTGATTGTCAAATTTTTGTTCTTGACGTCTGTTGTCAAATTGATAATAGATATTAAATATTGTTTGTCTTTGTTAATATTTTTTATAGTGTAGTCTTGGCGAAATTTGTGATTATAGAAGTATAAAATACAATCATAATAGTGTACAAACTTACAATTCCAATTAATTATAGTCGAATTTCGACTACTGCAGGACCTCTAGTATAAGTAAAATGGTGATACGACGAATTATTTGAAAGAAAATAAATTTACGCATAATTGCTTAAAAGCCTTACTGGTAGCTATTTGATGTACTTTAATATTTATGAGATTTTTACTTTACCCCTAAATAAATTTTATACGGCTTAAGGTTTATTGATTGATAGTATTATTAGTGTTATATGAAAGGAACAAATGTATGTCTAGCGTAGACTGTTTGTCGACGGTGTCTGTTTCACCGGTATTTGAATGGAATAATAAATAATACGAACTAAATTTCCTGAATGTATAATATACATATGTACAAATATATTGGTGTTTATATAGATTGGCAAACGAACTCACGAATAACCATGGATACCTTAAGACATGAGATTAAAGTCTCAAACCATAAAAATAGTTTTCAGTCCCGGAAACGTCAAATCACTCAATACGAATACATAGGAATTATTAAGAGATCATGGACGATGTACTAGTAAATCATTTACAACTTAAAAAGTTTTAATTTAAATAACTAAATGTATGGATGTAAGTTTAAATAAACAAGCTATCAGAGAAATAAAGAGTATTAATTTGCTTGTAGAAAAGCAAACATATAAATGTTATTTATATAAAGATGAGTTAAGCCAATGTAAATTTTTACGAGATTGCGTTGAAATTTGTAGCCTCAGTTTTATAAAATCAGGTTTCACGAGGTTGACTTTGTGTTTTGATCATAAAATGCTGCGAGCGATGCTGTCCAAATGACACACTTTTAGCAGTGACTCATTTTTTAAATATATCGATATTTTTCGTAGATAAATCTAATAATAAATTAATGACATCCTATAGTTTGATAATAGATAGCAGATATAATAAAATATGTACTTTTATGGACCTATCGACTTGTGATCGCCCAGGGGTTGAAATTCGGTCGTAATTAATAATAATATATTTTCTTTAAATGTTTTAACGTAAACCATGAAAGTATTTAAAAAAATACAATTGCAGTTTCGACTTTATGTCTCAGGGTGGATGGTGGTAATCACGTTGTCCATGGACTTACTGGTGGTAGGACCTCTTGTGAGTCCGCGCGGGTAGGTACCACCACCCTGCCTGTTTCTGCCGTGAAGTAGTAATGCGTTTCAGTTTGAATGGTGGTAGTAACTATGCTCGAGACCTTAGAATTATATCTCAAGGTGGGTGGCGCGTTTACGTCGTAGACGTCTATGGGCTCCAGTAACCACTTAACACCAGGTGGGCTGTGAGCTCGACCACCCAACTAAACATTTAAAAAAAAAACTCCAGTCATCACTTAATTCTTGCTCGTGGTAAGCGCTTATCCAACTAACAGTTGTAGTTGTTGCCTATCCTGAAGAACAATATTTAAGTGGCAATGGCATCAGTAGTGATAAAGGCTGTTCTGTCAACATCCTATCCTTAAACGAACGCATAATTCCTTCACGGGTTTTTTTTTTGGATCAGGGCCTTGATGCCTTAATAGGCAGGATAGTGAAACCCGTTGGACATTAACACGTTCGATATTAATAACATAGCGGAATTGCAAGTTGAACAATAACAAACAAGCCGATTTTTATTTTGAACGTAAAATATGTATTACGAGTAGATATACCAAGTTCCTTTAGCAAACTTGAAATGGTAATTACTTCCGCTCACTTTAATGAAACTAAAAATATAAAAAAAAAACATTCAGTTTTATAACACAGTTGGACAGTTCCCTTGACTAGTGAAATCGGTGCTGCATTGGAATTAACTAGGTCATTTGCGGTAATTGCAATCAAATAGTTACTGAAATCCTATTTCATTTTGATTTTAGAATTGTTTCTAATTTCATCTATATATTAATACGTGAAGCGAAAACTTTGTACCCCTTTTTACAAAAATTGTGCGAACGGAGGAGTATGAAATTTTCCACACTTATAGAGAATATAGAGAAGAAGTGCAGAATGCTAATTTTTTTTTTAAACTATGAATTAAAAGTACATTCAATCAATAAAGAAAACATTACACACACTACCATGTATTTGACACACACACATATACTCTTTCTTTATTGTCAAACTTTTGTTATTGCTTGAGGTTTGTAGTCAAATTGAGAATAGGTTAGTATTGTTTATCTTTAATATTACGAGTATTTGTCTATAGTGTAGTCTTGGCGAAATCTGTAACAATAGGACCATAATAATGTTGAAGCTTATAATTTCAATTAATTATAGTCGAATTTCAACTACTGCGGGACCACTAGTTTTCTTTAATACAGCGACTAAATTACTATGTGATGATACACATAAAATAATATTTCATGCATCGAAGACGATTGAACGACATTGAAGTGTGGCTACGTGCTAAATATTCATGTTCTATTATTTATTTGAATAATGTTAGATACTTGTAATAGTTAATATGAATATTTGTTTCTTTCCTAGTATTCGATTAAGACATGTACAACGGTTGTTGGCATTTCATCAAACGTTGATAATATCATTGAAGTATAACGGATGGCATGCGAATCGTTTCATCAAATGCTGCTTTATTATTGCTTCAACCGGACACAAAAGGGAATCAACCGAAACTGATGCTGGATATCTCAGATATGACATAAAGATTGATAGATTCAAAATGCTGCAACTGATTACAATGAACTACTGTTTTACTAGGCAGATAGAGAAAAAATGCGACAATACTGACAACCCTCGTATTTGTGTTTCGACTTAATTAATCATCATGATTCTTGTCTGTATTGATAAGGAATGTTTCTACGGACTTGTGAGTCCCCATGACACCGATTGTATGAATTTTATTTAAACTCGCATACATTAAATTACATTGTTCATTTGTTTCCATTACGACACGATAGGGTCTAATTATCGTAATGGTCTGTAAGTACAAGCTTGTTGGTGTTTACACGCAATCTCTAACGACTAAAAGAGTTATGAATTCAATTAGATTCCTATTTTGAATTTGAAAATATAATAAAAATACAAAACAGAATTTTGTATTGCCATTTCCATTTTAATTCAGTAAATAATTGTTATCGGTATTAGGGCGATGTAAGCAATATTGTTCTTTTTGTATCGTTGCTTATTTTTGTACTGAAGCATCTGCTGCGGTCTTCGCACTTCTTCATTAAATCTCAACGTGGGCAACAGTATTTACCGTCGTCAATTGATGTGGTTATCTATGTCAATAAACTAACGAATAAATGATCACGTTAAATGTTTTAACGCTTTTATAGGAAGACTAGCATACGGGTTATATACAGCGGTCTCCATCGGTCAGGGACGTCAGCAATGTCAGGGGCACAGTCAAGCCGCTACCTGAACGCGCACAAGCGCTTTAAATGTGCAATAAAAGCCGTTTTAAATTTCAATAACATTTTTATTACTCTAAGTATTTATTTTGTTAATATAATAATTAGCTTTGCTCTTAAGTTCATGAGAGTCTATTCTGTAAATCGTTGCTGAAACGTTGCTAGCATAACTGCATCAAACGAGCTCTCGTTCACAGCCACTTTGTAAATACATAATACACAACAACTAAACAGACGTGTTAGCGAATTGCACGCACACTGCATGAGAGATGCGTTCTAGACGCGAATCGCCGTCTTCACAGGTATAGTGGTTTCAGCGTAGCCTTGACATAGGAGGATGCGCGGCTGGCCGTCGCGACTTAACACCACTCGGCTACTAGCCCCAATGACGGTTGCGGTAGTATTTAGGCACCGCCAGATACGGATATCTCGCTGGTACTCTAACGTTTTCCAAGTTGTATCCGCGCCTTAATCGCACTAGTGCCGTACCGATGTCGCGTTCCACTTCCCTCTTCGAGGGTCTCACTATCTTGACCACGTTCGATTCCAAAATAACATTATCTGCCACTACAGGTTCGTCGGGTCTTATTCTGGTGATGAGTTTGGCCCTGTTCTTCTGTGACGCCAAATACTCTTCGTTTAGAACGTAATCGTGATGTTTCGGGATTTGTTTGTATCTGGCGCTGTCGATTTCTCGGTCGTATCCGATGCGGTCTCCTGGGGCGGCGAGCGCGGGCGCCGCCACGATGACTACGAGCGCGATGTACGCGTGCATGATGCGGTGTGTTTCGACTGTTTGAGCCGCGCGCCTTCATCACACATTTTATATATGCGAGAGATCGATACGATTCCCGCCCAATTTAACCATATACATTTTGATCGTATAATGACAGACGCGCTTGAACTTGGCATTGAATTGTGTTCATAATAATTATAGGAGGTACGGTTTTCTTTTTCTTATCTCCTTTTACTTCAGGTTGCTAAGACCGGTAGACACTAATATTTCGATGCATCAGTACACTGAACTTACACTGAATAACCTTGTACTACTTACATTATCCGACATTACTTTACGTAACTATTAAGTTTGTACAAGGTGACTGTTATGTTACGAGCATAGATTATAATTATTAACTTGTCTTCATTATTAATTAGGGTAATCTAACGAACATTCATAAAGATTAGTGAGTTATATAATTTTGTTTTCATTTTGAATAATATTTTCATAGTCCGCACCATCAAAACACAATCATGTTAGGCTGTGTTTTGTTCCTGTGATATATTATTATTATTATTACATTATTTACGTTCAACGATGAACGAATTTCGTTTGCTTAACAAGTCAGGTGTTGCAATATTTTTTATTACTATCTATGGACATAAAATTGAAGGCATAACTTTAATTTGAGTGCAGGGCATTTTAAACGTCGTAAACTGAGTATTTACAGACAGAAGAACACGATTTGTTCAAGGGTAATAGTTAAATAACAGCCGATGTGGGTGAATACGCAGCGTCTTTTGATGCTTTTAAATTCAAGGGTATAATCTATTAGTTCATCGGTCTGTACATCTAATATGGTAATGAGTGATCTTGTTAATATAATTCCCTTTTTTCTCTACCTAAGCTTTGGTAACCTAAGGGTCTTGCTCGTGGACTAGTAGGTGAGCTCACGGGCTGAACTCGGGAGGATTTGCTAATACTAGCTCTAGCAAGAGCAGTGCTTAGTTGAACCTATTGCCGGATCGGAATAGCGATTTTCTTTTTTTTTTATAGCTTAGATGGGTGGACGAGCTCACAGCCCACCTGGTGTTAAGTGGTTACTGGAGGCCATAGACATCTATAACGTAAATGCGCCACCCACCTTGAGATATAAGTTTTAAGGTCTCAAGTATAGTTCCAACGGGTGCCCCACCCTTCAAACCGAAACGCTTTACTGCTTCACGGCAGAAATAGGCAGGGTGGTGGTACCTACCCGCGCGGACTCACAAGAGGTCCTACCACCAGTAAAATTACTTACAGTGAAGATCCGGCGAGAAACTCAGCGGGTTGATTATTCTGATAAAATAATAATGCACACAGTGTGACACAAATTTAGCTGTCTTTATTAAAATGTCTGAAGACAGTTTCGATATTCGTTCATTGTTAAACTCATCAAGGACGTTATAAATAATTTATTAAAGTAACTATTTAACTAGTATACACCAATATTAATAACAAAAGCAGATGGTTGCGTTGTTAATATAAGTATGGTAATTTAGATATATCCAGGTCATTAATAAATAGGTTTTTTCAGCATTTCATGTAATACTTCGAACGTAGAGGAATATAATCTGTTTATCGATGCAAAATAATATTATATTTTAAATTTATTTTAAGCAAAAACATCGTTTCTTGACATACACATATTTTTTGTTTCATGCTTATTTCCTGGATTGTCGACAATCAACTTTTGGCAATATATTGAATTTTATGCTAAAGTGATTAATTAGTTAATAAAATTACCTAATTTTATTAAGATTATTACGATTTGTTAATATTCATATAGATTTTATAAGTGATTATAGAGATGCAGTGGCTATATAATGTTATCAATGTATAAAAGATAATATATAAAAGAAAGAAACTATTTTGTGAATCGATTTTTGAAATTACGTGGAAATTTAAACGCGTGATTGCATCTTCCATTTCAGTGACTATTTACATTTATATTGACAGTTCTATACCATGTATAAAGGTGTGGCATTCACTCTATTTAGTCTATGGTAGTCACCGGACTGACCGTGAGCATTTTGGCACCATGAAAGTGCCATGCGCAGTGTGTTTTATAAGTGCTAATGACTGTCCAAAATCAATTTAATTTCATCTTAAACGATATGGCGGCTGTTGCTCGTTTCCATTAGAACCTCAATCCCGACTCGATTTTAAGAATTTACAAATTCGAGTATCGTAGATTTATGAGCAATAACAAAATAGTATCTAGTATTTGCGTTCTCCAAATGAAAGATACGTAACTACCTCAGACTTTATTTTAAAAAGGTTTAAATAGCTTGTAATTAAAAGTGAATGTGATTAATGTGCATAAAATGTTCCGAACTTGTACATACATTTTATTTTTAATGTTGATTAGGTGTTTAATTAAAATCAGTTTTCGGATGCAGTTATAAGCACGGAACTAATTAGTAAGCTAACGGAAGTATTAATAAATATAGAAGTAGATATTCGGGTGTACTGTGAATTGATCGGAATCACCCAAGGCAATAACTGAAGGCGAGGACTTACAGTCGAGGCGGGCAAAGTTAATGAAATTTTCGTTTGGATTTACATGTCTGTCTCACAGGCGGTCAAGTTTTGAATTTAAATATCTGAAACCTTACGTTCGTGTGTACGTTTAGAAAGCTGTGAACTTTGAAATTTAATTTTGGTATATATGAGTTGTTCGATTGAATATTACTTTAATTATTTTAATTATCTATATATATAAAAATTAATTGCTGTTCGTTAGTCTTGCTAAAACCCGAGAACGGCTGGACCGATTTGGCTAATTTTGGTCTTGAATTATTTGTGGAAGTCCAGAGAAGGTTTAAGAGGTAGATAAATATGAAAATGCTCGGAATTAAATAAAAATAAGAATTTTGTTTTCCCTTTGATGTGTCCCCCGTCGGACGGATTCCTTTTGTTTGTTTTAAGTTTATTTTATACAAAAGCTTAGGTCTTTTATCTATCGATTGAGGCACTACGAAGTTTGTCGGGTCCGCTAGTAATATGTATAATTATAATTTTGAGAAAACGGGCAACTAACTTTTGTTACTTGTATTTTTTCTTCGTGCCGAACTTCTTTATCCCATGCAATTCCTAAAAATAGCCTTTAAACCTGGAGTTTTACGGTCTAGTATGGCTTATAGGCACATAACGCCTTCAGTCAATGTAAAAACTCCAAAATATTAAAAATGGTACTTAATCTCTTCATCCACTCGTGTTTTCAAATATCATCTAAAATTATTTTAATAGAGCTATCTCGATGAAAACGACAATGAATTTTGTGTTGGACATAATTCTAAGCAGACCGACCGTGTTTGTTGTCCAAGGGCGCGCGAACAAGACAAAGAGTTATCTCTTCCGTATGAGGTTCGTTCCGCATCAATCGCAGCATCATCGCTGGAATATTAATATTCGTTAACCAAAACATCTCTTTGTTTATTGACGTCCAGCCATGAACGTGTTTTTTCTGTCTATTTTTTTTTTCTAATCTCACTCATATTAGTTCGCCACAATACCGGTTAATGATATTCTTGCCGACGCGAGCTGACTACTATTTTTGTATGGCTGGAGGTTATTACGATACAATATTTGAAAGACTTATTGATTTTGTTGATAATGAAGTGATTAGTGTCGACGTGTATTCAGTGACGGTGACGCGGTCCAGGAGAGTTCGTTGCCTTTGTACCGATATTAGTTTTCATGTACACTCCTTACATTAGCTTTGTTTGTTTAAGTTCTAATTCTTGTTATTTTCATTTATATTTTTAATAAATTCGTCGTCCGCGACCACGTATACTGTAAAGCGTATTGTTCTATCGAATACTAGCGACCCGCCCTCGCTTCGCTTCGGAAACATTAAAACACACATGAAACCAAAAAAAAAAAAGTAGCATATGTTCATCAGGGACAATGTCGGCTTCTAATGGAAAAAGAATTTTTCAAATCGGTCCAGTAGTTTCGGAGCCTATTCGAAACAAACAAACAAACAAATCTTTCCTCTTTATAATATAATTATTATATTAATATAGTATAGATGATAAGTTATTACAATAAAAACAAAAAGAAATACTAAATTATAAAGCACAACCCTAGTCTAGTTTAAGTTGGGAACCTAACAATGTAAATATCGGTACTTTTAGATTCATTTTTGTTTTATGGACCTGACACTGTCATTGTTAATGTGCTAGAATGAGGTGAGAGTTCGATGTCTTTGTTTCGCGTTGTCTCAGCGTGTGTTTCGGCGCCCGTCCTCTGATGCGGTCATTGCTTCCTGATCGCCGATGTTTATCTCGAGCTCAAATCAAGAGACGAAGCTCTTGGTGCGTTTGCGCAACGTGCCCGCTTGCATTATTCATAGCCGCACGATCGGACCTCTATTATCCTTTGTTCTGTAGTCATCCAATGCTTAATGTTTCGTGTCTAAATTGTGTATACAGAATCGTATGAATTAACAATTTCAATTTGTCAATTTTGTTTAAGGAACAAAAAAAATATAATTTTAAAAATAAAGGAATGATCAATATTTGTTTGTGTGTGAATGAATATTCAGACCTAGCTCTATGGTCAAATTTTGGAAAACCTTTTTTGATTTCCAAATCAAATGTAGAGAACTAAAAAGTCGGTTTTTTTTATACCCGTGTTTATAAATCGAGTACTTTTCACTTAGTCTCAATATATGTCATTGTATGTGTTTTTTATTTGTGACAGATGCCATGGGAATCGTCTGAAGAGCAAACGGGAGGTCCCCGCGAGATGCGTATCCACGTGCAACGCGTTATTGCAATCCCGGCACCGCACAATATGCCCCAAGCACCCGAACCCGACATGGGACCTTTTGCGCCTCCTCCACCGCCACCCCAACAAGACCAGAACGAGGTGAGATAAGCGTGAAAAAAAAACTACTTTTTCTTTTAAGTTAGTTTTTAAGTTTCTTTTCTTTCCTATAAAGTTAAGCGCTGCTTAATCTTGATTTAAATTGTACTTATTTCAATTTACATTAAGCCGGATTACCGGTGCTTGATAATCGCTTAGCCGTGTATGGCATGTATGGCTACTCAATGGTCTCGGAGGTTATATTAATTCATAAACATACCATAAGCATTTGCAGAAATAAAAAAATTACAACAAATACAAAACAACAATCTATATATTTTTTATTTAGCGAGTAGAATTTTGTTTTCAATCGATTAATAAGAACCGCAAAACATTAATATTTTTACCGAAATTTTGTTATTTGCCTTGATTTATTTTGCCTCTCTTTTTGTATTGTTAAAAATGATTCAAATATCACATAATATGACATACGTGTATAATAATAATATTTAATCTGCTTAATGTAGACACACTCATTTTATTCTAATAGACATTCATGCAGACGTTATAATCTTATGAACGGACAGTAAATAAAGTATGATGTCAATTAATTTTTTGCGTCCGCACTAATGCGATTTCGGTTTTAAAATTGAAGTACTGACGCGAACGTTCCGATTTATAATTAAACTAACAGTACACACTTAACTGTAGCGACATGCAAATAACAAACGATTCTCAATCTTCAAACATAACACCCACGTGCCAAAATATTAGCTACATCTATATATTAATACGTGAAGCAAAAACTTTGTATCCCTTTTTACGAAAATTGCGCGGACGGAGGAGTATGAAATTTTCCACACTCATAGAGAATATAGAGAAGAAGTGCACAATGCTAATTTTTTTTAAAACAATGCACAAAAGATACATTAAATTAATAAAGAAAACATTACACACACTACATACCATGTATTTACACACTACATACCATGTATTTGACGCACACACGCATGCATACTGTTTATTGTCTAACTTTTGTTTTTGACGTCTGTTGTCAAATTGAGAATAGATTAACTATTATTTGTCTTTGTTAATATTTTAATAGTGTAGTCTTGGTGAAATTTGTGATTATAGAAGTATAAAAAACAATCATAATAGTGTACAAACTTACAATTTCAAATTAATTATAGTCGAATTTCGACTACTGCGGGACCTCTTGTTCATTACAAATACCCAAACCGGCTAAGTAGAAGTAAGAAGTCGAAAAACTTTGAGGAGTTCATAAAAAAAGATTCCGTTAGCGAGCAATTTACAAGTTCGGTAGGTAACGAGCTCAAATTATATTCCGACGATGTTACACGGAAGTGCGCCGAATAATGTTTTATAATGACACCCGCCAACAGAAATCTATATCTATACTAATATGATAAAGAGGAAAGATTTGTTTGTTTGTTTGTTTCGAATAGGCTCCGAAACTACTGGACCGACTTGAAAAATTTTTTTCCATTAGAAGCCGAAATTGTCCCTGATGAACATAGGCTACTTTTTTTTAATTTTTTTTATTATTTTTTTTTGGTTTCATGTGTGTTTTAATGTTTCCGAAGCGAAGCGAGGGCGGGTCGCTAGTAAATAAATAATATACGGTAAGAAATGCGGTGTTACAAAACCTATTACTATTCAAAAGTATTCACGGCCGAATCGGCTGATTGATCGGCGTAATTATAGCGACTACTAGTTCTAGTATTAACATTGAAATTTTTAGCGGCATGTACCTATTTAAAGAAATACATTTGACACGTCGTCATTTGTGATGCATGAGACCAAAAAGTTTCGATATTAAAATCCTTTCGATTTAAAATCGTCAAGAACGTTACAAATTACATTTTTATTTATTTATTGCTTAGATGGGCGGACGAGCTCACAGCCGCCCTGGTGTTAAGTGGTTACTGGAGCCCATAGACATCTACAACGTAAATGCGCCACCGACCTTGAGATATAAGGTCTCAGTATAGTTACAACGGCTGCCCCACCCTTTCAAACCGAAACGCATTATTGCTTCACGGCAAAAATAGGTAGGGCGGTAGTACCTACCCGTGCGGACTTAAGAGATCCTACCACCAGTAAATTTGGAACTGTCTTTATTTTAAATGTTTAAAATATACTTATACCCGACCAAAAAATAACAGATTTTATAAAGCTAATCTAGGTTTATTGCAGTGAAATCTGTAGCGGGTATCCTAACGGACTTTCAGAAGCAAATATTAATTTTAGTTGTTCAGAAATTATTTGAATAAATGCATGAATCGAAACTTGTTTAAAGTATGACTACATATGTTTGGTCGTGCGATGACCTCCGGATACTGGTTTTCAATAAATATCGAAAATATATCAACCGATTTTTGCCTCATAACAATACTATGTTCGAGGCGTAATTTCCGAAATTGTTTGCTTCCCGGAGGATGAAAAACAAACGGCGTACGAGGAACTCGTAAACAAAATCAAATAATATTTATACTGGCATCAGCGATGTACCTGATAAATCGGAACTGTGATTCCGTTCTGTTTGTAGAGGTTTCTAGAACATATTTACAAGCCTCCCGATCGTGACAGCGTCAACAGTTTCCCTTTTTCAAGTTAAATATATACAACGAGGGATCGTTCTGGTTATATAACGTCTTGTTATCGTTTTCAGCAACAAACTATCGTCCACCAATTCGTGCCGCAGACAGCTCCTACTCAAGAAATGGAACAACCTGAGGTATGTTTTCACAAGTGCCTTTAATACTATTATTGTGTGTTTTGCACTGAGAAAATCTTAGCGAGATATTTAAATACAGATATATTTTACGAGTCAAACCCGACTCGCTTTGCTACCAAACATTATAGGTTCACCCGCAAATTTATCGTAATCAGTCCGGTCGTTTCGGTGTTCATAAGGAAAATACATACACAAATCCACTTTTTCAATGCACAAATATGTACATTTATTGTTGATAAGTGATCTCAATTAGGATTATCTTAAGACGCAATACCCGATTTTCGTTATGAATGCTATAAGATAGATTAGGGCTGGCGTCCACCTTTAGTATAAGATCGGAATCTCAATAATGGTATCGTATTATGGCTGTCGCATTAAACCTCAACGCTTGGCACTCCGTGGAAAAAATAGGTAAGGCTGTGGAGCCAGCTTTTGCTCGATTAAAATACGGCTTATTAGCAGTAATTAAAAATAGATTTTTTGCGGTGACACTACATTCTCATTAAACAAAAATACAGAAAATAATCGTTACTAATTTATTACTGATTAAAATTNAATAATGGTATCGTATTATGGCTGTCGCATTAAACCTCAACGCTTGGCACTCCGTGGAAAAAATAGGTAAGGCTGTGGAGCCAGCTTTTGCTCGATTAAAATACGGCTTATTAGCAGTAATTAAAAATAGATTTTTTGCGGTGACACTACATTCTCATTAAACAAAAATACAGAAAATAATCGTTACTAATTTATTACTGATTAAAATTTTCCCAGTTGGAAAACATAAGCACGCAAAAAGCATTCGTATAATTTTCGGTTTTGTGAATATTCAGTGTGGTTTGAGGTCAACTAATTATATTCGTAAAATAAAATAGCAAATTATCAAAATGTATTTCAAAAACATCAAATATATGTGCGAGAAAAATAAAATGCACTAAGGATTAAGCCTGAAGATTGGCCTGGTATTTGAAACAGATTTCGTTTAAAATCATAACACAGTATATTTAGTATCTTCTTAGCCTAAAGGTATTTTTAATCATAATATATTTGTTGTTCTAAAACATGGGAGAGTTCAAGGTCTAGCTGGTAAGAAAAACAGAAGAAAGATGGGCGAGTTGGAAGTCTCAAATGGATTGTATGATGAATCTCCCACCCTCCAAACTGGAACACGTGATTACTTCTCGACGGAAATTAGCAATGCTGTGATAATCAATTGTAAATCTATACTAATATTATACAGCTGAAGAGTTTGTTTGCTTGAACGCGCTAATCTCAAGAACTACTGGTCCGATTTAAAAAAATCTTTCAGTGTTAGATAGACCATTTATTGAGGATGGCTATAGGCTGTATAAAATCACGGTAAGACCAATACAAGTGGAGCACGAATAAAGAATGTTTCAAAATAGGGGTTTAAATAGCTCCTTAACATCCTAGAATTCAAAAATATTTTGACTTTCTACGTAAATGAAGTGGGGGGTAAAATTTTGCGTTCTGCCGAAGTAACTATTCCACGCGGACGGAGTCGCGGGCAAAAGCTAGTTATATTATATGCAGTTGTCGTTCTTATTAATTTAATACCGAAATCTGTTCGACATATTATTAGGTAAGATTCCGTCTAAGATTATTCAAGGTACAGATTAATATTAAATTATGGACTTTCTGTTGAAGAAGAAGAGGGCAGGTCGGCTTTCTAATTGTTAACGAGTTCTTGAATAGTTAAATAAAATTTCCAAGCAACTTTCGTTCTGTTTGAAACTCTATATTTGTTTTAATGATAATAACTTTTACTTAATAACTTTTGTACATTAAACGGCGAAACAAACGCGTTTCTCAAATCTGGAAGGTTTTGACAACATCCCACATTTTAACGCCCACATGCTGTGAAGGATTCTTGAACAAATAACTTACTGAAATTTACTGGGGAAACTTTAAATTATTACAACATTGATATTCTTGTATATTTAAACTTAAACTTTGATTTAATGTTCATCCAATGTCCAAGAAGTAACATGGGAGATAAGGTTTGTTTTTTATTTCTATTCAGAATTTATACATTCTGTTAAAATATATAACTGTAACTATACTTGAGACCTTAGAACTTATATCTCAAGGTGGGTGGCGCATTTACGTCGTAGATGTCTATGGGTTCTAGTAACCACTTAACACCAGGTGGGCTGTGAGCTCGTCCACCCATCTAAGCAATAAAAAAAATGTAAAATATGTGTACTTTTTTGTATGATATTATTATGAAGTAACTTTTTTTATTACGCTGAACCCGATCAAATTTAAAAATTCACTAGAAAGTTACGTGAAATTAGTGATCAAATAACTCAATTAAAAGGTATGTACAGGTCTAAGCGTATGCTAAAATTTTAATCAAAGCTATATTAGAATTTTTAAATTAAATTTCATGTGATCCCCGTCAAAAATCATAGAGCATATGATTGGTGTAGTAATGTAACAAAATGTAATGCATTTATCTGTCTTGTTTCAAATTGATATATCGTTTTATACTTCGTTTGGAATTTTTCACGCCGCACTGGATTTACGATCAATCTTCATTTAAACTCCTTTCACTGCTTTTAACAATACCTGGTATTTCCCGAGCGTTATCACATGTCCTTTTTCAAACGAGGCTTGTGGAGAGTACTTAACGGTAGGCAGCGGCTTGGCTCTGCTCCTGGCATTGCTGACGTCCATGAGCGACGGTGACCACTCACCATCAGGTGGGCCGTATGCTCGTCTGCCTATACGGCAATAAAAAAAATAACAACTTTTATGTAGATTTTTTTTACTGGTGCAATTCGACTACGATTCACTGTCATATTTTTATATAAATGTATCCGCAAATGTTGAAATAATATAGCGTCACCTATCATTATTAGTATGATAGGTACTATTCCAGAAATTTCCTGAAGTATGAACTACAACTGTATAAAGTTTAATGGGATAAATGATACGTGAGAGCACATAACATAAATTTTTTGATGGTCTAGAGAGACCATATCAGCGTAACCTTAACTAGTAGGTGAGCTCACGGGGCTCAAACCTGACGATGTTGCTAACACGAACCCTAGCAAGAGCCGTGCTTCGCGAAAATCTCCACTAATGCTTTGGAATAAGAGCTATCTAAAGCCGCAATCTAAGGTTGTATCACGCACGTTCTACCTTCAGGACAATGCTTAAAATAATATGTGTACCCAGGGCCAGAAGGCGCAGGACGGTGCCCCGGTGCAGATGAGTCTCCCGTGGGGCTTGACCCCGGCCGACCTGCATGCGATACACCGCTCCGCTCAGCATGCAATCGACCAGTCACGCCGTGAACAACAAATGGACAACGACATGCAGGAAGTACGTACACAGAACTACCAACATAACATGAAAATAAAGTTTGTTCACTAAGCTAAGCATCCTCCTTCTTGCATCGTGTTCTTCAGTGCTTAGGGTCGTGACCTTTACGGAGCTTTTTATTTGGAATATGTTCTCCTATTTTTTCCTCTTCACGTAGTCGATAGCTATTTAGATGCTGGAGTCTAATGTCGACTTAATTTGATCCAGCGCACGGGACCTTTGACCTCCTTCCTTCCACTTTGTCGGTGATGAGTGGTTTAAGTTAGGTATAAGTTAATTTAATTAAAACTATTTGTACTGTTAATGCTGTGTTTTATAATCTGATTATATTAGTCAGTATATCAGTCTTTAGTGAACCAAAGAAACTGTAAAGTATTTAAAACGTCTGAAATAATACTCGTAATATAATGAGAATAAAAAATGCTCGTTTATCCGGAAAATAGTTTTTATTGTATCTATGAAACGAGAAAATTGAAAAAAAAAATCGATAATTTCGAGCTTCGATAAAATTTAACATTTTACAATTGTAATTGGTGATACTTTAGAATAAATATCTTATGGAGCCATTTATACTGAAAATGTTTCTTTAAATTATTGTTCTGAATGATATGTCTATTGCTTTGCTTATTAATAAATGTTTAACACTAAATAATTTGTATTGTCAACAGGTGAAAACTATCGTGAACACATTAGCAGCGGCGGCGGAAGCGGAAGCTGAAGCGGAGGCGGGAGCACAAGAGGGACCGCGCGCCGAGACCCCACGAGCTCAGCGCACGCTCCTTCTGCCTCAGGAACAACACGACATTGACGAGAGGCCACATTGTAAGTACACATATAACACAATTAAAAAAACAGAGGAACGTGTTAAAAAAAAACAATTCGCTTGTAGTTTTTTTTTATTACATATTTTTGATATTTTTTTTGAAGAAATCTCTAAAATAATCACATGAAAGCCTATATATAACACAGAAGAAATAAACGTGAAGTTATTTATAGATACCTAGTTTCACAAGACAGTTTGGCTCATTCACCCATTTAAACAATTAAAAAAAAATGTGAGCCGTCACGGGACGCCTGGCAGATGTGAAACATCAACATTATTTTGTAAAAGTAATATGCAGAAAAGAACAGATTGTGATAGGAACTAAATATGTCATAATGATAAAATAAAATATTACGAAAAAATTATTTGTTTAGAGAGAATCGCACAGTCGATTGCACATGGCGACGCGTCGCCACACCGTACACACTACTGCATATAGACTGTATATATATACCATCATATAGCGTGGCGACGCGTCGCCGCGGCATACGTCGCCACGCCAGAAATCGGTTTTACGTGCGGCTATAGATGTTTCACATCAAAAATTATAGTAAATCATTGGTTTTAACAACAGTTGTTTTGCTGGTCAACAAATTTGTGGCTTGAAAACGTATTTATAAACCCTAGAACACAAAGTGCTGGTAGCCTTTGAGCAGTAGAAGAGAGATCGGACGAAGTAATTAAGCCCGTACCTCTGTATTTCTGACGTTGTCAGATGCATATACACTGGTGGATTTTAATTAACTGCTAATTAATTCTACGGTAAACTGAAATCGAAAAACTACAGGATTTGCTTTTCATTAAAGAATTCAGATGAATTGTTTTCTTGGCTTTTTCATTTGTATACAATGTAAGCTTTAGTTAATTTCGGAATTCATACAGGAATGTCGTTTAAAGGAAAGACAATGCTACTTGGTAAATATGAATCAAATTTAGAAAAAAAATGACCGCTTCATCGCACTAAGTCAAATACATGACTAATGTATATATATGACTATGACTACATATATTTATATTACATATATATGTGTACATTCGTAAAATACAAAACTTATACAAACATCCAAAATAATTTATGAACGATTTATGCAGTGAGATATTTTAAGTCCAAGGTTTAATTAGGATGGTTTAATAGATAGAAATGACAATGTGCCTCCTCAAGTGGTTCGAAGAAAGCTCTGAGCGGTAAATAGCTGTCTGTGGCGTTAATACTATGACACCTTGGCAGTGGTGCAAACAAATACTGCATCAAGTTTCAACGTAATCGTGTAGAAGACGCTTGAGAAAACACGATCAAACGAACGCATGTATTCATAATACACTTTTATTAGCTTCAGACGTATGTATATTAGTATGTAACGGAATCTTTGAACATGATTTTGACCCCTTTCAAAACGTCGGATTAACTCGAAATTTGGCAAACTTATTAAGGACCGATGACAATTCAATATTAAAAAAAAATATTGAAAAAATTGAAATTCAACTAAAAAATGAAAAATAAATTTTAATAAATTTGAATTAAAAAAGCGTGGGGTGCTTTTCAGGATATTATCAATATAACCCTTCTACTCATATATGTTCATAAAATATTTATAACTACTGATACCATTTTCTTACACTATTTTTAATTCAAATTTATTTTCTATCTTTTAATTGGATTTTCTATAAAAGCGTATATTTTTTATTATAGTTTTTTTAAACTATTATTTATTATTTACGAGATTTGTTATGGCGTTTTAGATATGCAGCCTCGCTCAGTTCGCAGCGTCGATTCGATGCTGGAGGGCGGGAAACGCGTGAAGCGCTGTGCTTGCAAATGTGCCTAGAGTCTGCTCTAGATTATATAACATCGGCTCGCGATCGCACAGCGGGCCTCCGTCTCCAATCTACAATCTCAAACATTTGTAACAACATTCAATACATATAGATTTCAAAATAAAATTCTAGCTCTACTAACGATGTATAGTTGTATAATAAGCTAAAGTGCTTGGGGAATAGTGTTTGGGAATAGTTTTTATTAATTGTTAAATATTTATAAATTTTATACATTCGTTTATCGTGAAAATATATGTACATTTGTTAATAAAATTTAAAAAATAATAATTTGAATCGACCGCAGACGTATAAGACAAATACATATTTTTAGTTGACATATAATTAAATCCTAAATTACAAAAGTTGGTGGTTCAGGTAAATTTATTAAAGTGTAATTTTCATCTTGAAGATTGTGACCCTAAATTAAATTTCATTAGTTATACGGAATTTTGTTTCATTTCAATCCCTCTTTTTGTTTTTATCCTACCTACTAGCGACCCGCCCTCGCTTCGCTTCGGAAACATTAAAACACACATGAAACCAAAAAAAATAAATAAAAAAAAATTAAAAAAAAGTAGCCTATGTTCATCAGGGACAATGTCGGCTTCTAATGGAAAAAGAATTTTTTAAATCGGTCCAGTAGTTTCGGAGCCTATTCGAAACAAACAAACAAACAAATCTTTCCTCTTTATAATATTAGTATAGATATAGATTCGCTGTTAGCCTAAGGGGCTATATTCCAGTTACGCGCAGACATGTGGGTGAACTCACAGTTTCAACCTGAGAAAATTTGCTGACACTAGTCCTAACAAGGGCAGTGCTTCGCAGAATCTACTACCGGATTGCAATCGCGACCCACTGAGAAGTTCCGGCGAGAAACTTAGTAAGCTGTGTCTGTGGGTTAGTTCACTCGTCGAACTATTCAGTGCCCCACGTAAGACACCGGTGACCTACATGGCAGTCAAAGGGCTAAGCAACAGTTGCTGACAGTTCTCGTGGCCAGTAATAAGTGTCACAAAATCATCTTCGCCTAAAAAGTGTACTAAACAAACCTTGTAGATTTTAGTCACATCTTAATATCAACTGGATGACACTGTCGTCGGCAGTAAAAATAAAATTCATATTTTACCGAACAAATATTTTTATTTACTTGTACTGTTCGAATCTAAGTTATGATAAAAATTAACTAGCAAAAATTAATGTAATTGTGATCGTGGTTGCTAAATCAGCTTAATTAATTTATTGGGCGATGAGAAGCCACGTAATATATAATATACACTAAATTGCTCTCAATGACTTGCCATGGTTCCCGATAATTTCAGCACAAGTTAATTAATTAATTAATTTCAATTTTTAGCACGAAACTCGTAAGTTAAATAGCTTTCGATGTTTTTCTCATTAGCTTAATTGGAAAAGCTTTCAAAATGAAAATCGTATTGTGTTTTACGCGTCATAGTGTCGGTTTTAAGAGCATCGTGAAATGGGTTTCCAATCATTTTCCGAGTACCCACGTATTTTGAAATGAGCTTATGTTTTTTTGACATTGTCCAAGAGGTGTGTCAATTATTGAATTTTCAAAAGCATATCTCGAGCTTAGTGTATTATTAATCATCGGGCTGTGTGTTCTTTGTCTTATATTTAAACAAAACTACCATAGGATCCGTACGATGGCACAGTTTCATAAGGACGATTTAAATACAGAGAGTTAATACGTCATTATCAAATAAGCTACAGTAAGTAAGTATTGGTATTGATGGATACAAACATTTAATTTTATGTGATAGTTTCTCGTAATAAAAAAAAATTTAATTCAATTCTAAAATATTACCCTTTGCATAATAAGTGACCTCAAAACAAAGTTCATGTTTAATCTGAAATTACAGTGTAATGAATGTGTTTATTATAATTTATGACATATGTGTGTAGTTAAACGTCTGTCATTCATTAGAAGGAAAATTGCTTAATAATAATAGTAACTTCAGTTAGTATGTATGCCAACATAAAACTATGATGATTGGTTTTCCCCAAAGAATATCTACTTTAAAAAGTACAAGAAATTATAGTCTTCAACGTAGATGTGCTTTAAAATTAATTAATAATCGTATAATTAAGCACCAATGGCATAAAAATAAAAATAAAATGTCTTAATGGGTGAAACCCCCCTGCGGATTTTCGGAATTTCAGGCTAAAGCGCTGGGGAGTCGTTTAGTAGATGGCAATCCTGGCGGTCCCAAAATGTCCAGCGCGCCATCTCAGCGCGGGTTCTCGTGCGAAGATTTGGTCCCTGCCCAAAAAGGGGTATTATGCAATCCCGTACGGGTAGGTACTGTTACCTCGCCTATTTCTGCCGAAAATAAGTTATGTGCTCAGTTGTTAAGCAATCTAACCTGATGTCTGACCTGATGTCTCAAGCTGGGTATTATGTCTGTGGTATCTACGGTATCAATATCTTTCAAAGTATTATAACTTTCCATTCTCTCAACTCCACTCTTCCCTTATCTCTCTAAGTTCTTCCTTTCTAATACGCCATTAGAGGCTTCTCTTTCTTCTTCTGTATTGCTCTAACGGGCTGCTCTGTGATAATGTCACTTAATATTACAAACAAAAAATAATGTTGCCAGAGCAAGTGAGATGTTGCAATGTCAATAAAATGGTCTGCTTAGAATTATAAGCTAAATGTCCTCTACGTAATAGTTAATAAAAAAAGATCAAACAGTCTGAGTATAATTCTGGTCATCTACGATATAAATTTATTTTTTAGTTTGAAAATGAAAATTTATTCAGATTCGAGCATTGGTTTCAATATAAAGGAACTTTTTTGCCTTATACTCCCCCACTAAAACACTTTGACTCGGCTGCCGAAGGAGGGTAATGTCTTTAATATTGAAAATGGGCAGATAAATCAGTGGTTACGGCAGCCAATACAGATCGCAACGAAAAATATGTCTCCACGGTCCCCCTATCTCCCTTCTGAGATCCGAGGTCGAAGGCTCAGTTGTGATTTATAATAGCTGCCCCTAGCTCTTCAAATCGTCAAGGATGTCTGCTACACAGCAGAAATCGACAGAGAGGTCGTAACTCATTCATGAGGATCCACAATGCGCTCTGCCAGCACTAGGTACTACGGTCGTTGATCTTGTAATGATTGGAAGGTAATAACCAACAATTAGTTAGTGTCTATATAAAGTGCTCGTGTATTTTGTTCACAGAGCAAGAAAACCCTCTGATAACCTGGAGAGACTCATAGTGACGTGGGTAAAGTGGATGGAAGACGATCCACATATCGTATCCAAAAAAGGTGTAGTGACCAAGTGTCCGAAAACCTGGATATTAGACTGAGCGTCGCATTTCACTTTTTTTTTCCTACCCACGATGATAGCCTTGAGAGGCTATATCAGCCTCACCCTAACATGTAGGTGAGTTCACGGGGCTCAAATCGGAGTGATGCTAACATTGACCCTAGCAAGAGCAGTGCTTCGCAGAATCTACCACCGGATCAGAAACGCGACCCACTGAGAAAATCCGGCGAGAAACTCGATGGGCTGTATCTATGGGTTAATTCGCTCGTCGAGCCCTTCGTTTCAAGCGACGGGTTCGACGAGGACGGTGACCGATGCTTGTGGTACCTGAAAGCACGTTTAATGGATCGGGAGGATACGTAATGACGTGTTTTGGGCGACGTCGACTGTTTACCATTCGGTCTACAGGTTCGGGTATGTAATTTCCAGCGACCACGACAAGAAGGTTCTCATGTCGTGCCGCCTTCTCAAAGTGTCGCAGCGCATTTTCCTATGCCACCGACCGACATAAGTGGCTACGAATCACAAAAAAAGTTACAGGCAGGCGCGCTACTATGCCCAGCAATTAACGATAGATTGAAGAAGGAGAAGTTAGTGCTAGTCTAGAGATAAAAAGATTTTTATCTTTATCAATCGACGAATATCTATATTTCGGTTTAATAGTTAGCGCACCTGACTGTGGCGCCAAGGGTTGTGGGTTCGATTCCCACTACAAAGAAACATTCATGTGTTGAATAGGTTTGTTTGTTCTTTATCTGGGTGTTTATTATCATATATATATGTGTATATTTAACGTATATAGGTAAGTATGCATATGTCAGTCTCTGATACCTATAGCACAGGGAAACCAAACCGGGGACGAGTGACGTTGCGGAATTTGTTCCCTGTTAAATTATTATTATTATAAGACTTTTAGATAAAAGATTAAGGAGACTCAATTTTTTAATTAAAAACTCCAAAATATTGATAAGTTACAAAAGTTTATTAAGATTCTGTATACATAAGCTTAACCTATACATAAGATATACGCATCTCAGTTTATTATAAATTACAATTATCAGAGCGAATATTATTTACATTTATTAATGAGAGCAACATTTATTAATCTAGTTGTTTTCAAAACCTAAACACACAGGTTTAGCTTTTGCGAAATCAGTATGTAATACTTAGTTACAACAATTTAAGGCATAATTGTTTATGAAATAAAAATAATGAACGTTTGAAGTGAATTAATGTCGGAATGAATATCGTTCTGGGATGATTGTATAATAATGTAGAGCTATCGAGAATTATAATTTCAGATATTTCCATTTCAACGTCTAGGATCTCTTTCGACCTTTTTTTTCACTGTTTCACTCAGTTAGTTCAAAAGAATCCTCTCTATAATAAAATTTTCAAGTTAAATTCACTTCTTGAATATCATTAGCTATTCCATTGATACGTAATTTTTTTATTGAAATTTAAATAAATAAATAAAAAGTTACAGAATTACTAATTGTCTCACGTATACATATCTCTATATATAAAAATGAATTGCTGTTCGTTAGTCTCGCTAAAACTCGAGAACGGCTGAACCGATTTGGCTAATTTTGGTCTTGAATTATTTGTGGAAGTCCAGAGAAGGTTTAAAAGGTAGATAAATATGAAAAAGCTCGGAATTAAATAAAAATAACAATTTTGTTTTTGCTTTGTTGTGTCCCCCGTCAGTCTTTTATTTATCGATTGAGGCACTACGAAGTCTGCCGGGTCAGCTACTAATAATATAATTATGTGATGATATTCGATCAACAATAACAATGCGTTTCAGATGTGTAGTCGAAAGTTAGTACATGTACACAAATATGTACATAAATTAGGTTCAAATTAATGAGATTCACGGAACCTTCGTCTTGAGTTTGGCCGTTTGATTAACTTGGAATGTCATGCTCAGCGAGTTTGAATGCAATTAGGGATAGAGCTATAGCTACCTTTATGATTATAATGAGTTTCTATACAATAATAATAACAATAGGTGGGATAATACAGGCACGAATCGAGAAAGATTATTTTTTAAATTTTATTTTGATCGAGAAATTCCTGTTCTATTTCACATTTGCAAGACTGTAGTCTGGAAATGATCTCGACGATTTATTATTGTGGTTGTAATTT